CTCTATTAACTCATTCCCTGAAGACCCATTCTTTGGTTCCTTCGCAGGCCATGGCCAGGTTCGAACCTGCCACCCTTGGTGTATGTGACTGGCACCCTGCCGACTAAGCTATGGGCTCCACACCAATTTTGAATCTTAAAGGCCTTCTCTTTTATTCCCTGTCCCATTCACTCACTTATCTGCACCTATTCAGTGATAACACACAAGGCTCTGCACTAGGCCTAGCCTGAATTAACTTCACCACTTTCCACTATGCTGCCCCTCTGCAGGGTACATTTGCCTCCCAGGTGACGCTGGAAGGGGACAAGGTGAAAGTGGAGCGGGAGGTTGATGGGGGCCTGGAGACTGTGCGCTTGAAGCTGCCTGCTGTGGTGACTGCTGATCTGAGGCTCAACGAGCCCCGCTATGCTACGTTGCCCAACATCATGGTGAGCCCCTGGAAGACAGGTCATGGAGGGCCTGGGTTGGGTGAGCACAGTTGTAGACTCTCTGCCTCCCTTGTGGTTGAGTAGGAGGAGGACAGAATCCAAGGGTTGTCTCATGCAAAGGAAGGGTTCACCTGGTTATTTTGGCTGGCAGGGAAGGTTCACTGGGTCATCTCTGCCAATAGTGAGAGTTCAAGGGGGTTGTTTAGCTAACAGGGAGGGCTTGCTGGTTGTCTTGGCCAACAAAGCCTTCTCTGGGCAACAGAAAGGGTTCCCCTTGTCATTCTGGCCAATGGGAAAAGTTCACTGGGTAACTTTTTGGGTAATTTTTTTTTTTTTTTTTTTTTTAGAGACAGTTTCAGTTTGTAGCCCTCGATAGAGTGCTGTGTTGTCACAGCTCACAGCAACCTCCAGTTCCTGGACTTAGGCAATTTTCTTGCCTCAGCCTCCTGAGGAGCTGGGACACAGGCACCTGGGACTACCCCGATAACCTTGGCCAAATGAAGAGGATTCATTTAGTCATCTTGATTCATTAGGGAGGGTTCCTTTGGTAATCTTTGCCTATAGAAAGTTATGTGTAGACCATCTTGGCTAACAGGAAGGCCAGTAGGATTGGTTCATTAGGTCAATATGGAGAGTTCAGGGCATCATCTCAGCCAATAGGAAGAGTTTAGTGGGTCTTTTTAGCCAATTGGAAAGGTTCAGTTATCTCAGCCTATAGGAAGGGTTCAGTGAGTCTTCTCAGCCATTAGGGAGAGTTTAGTGGGTTATCTCAGCCAATAAGAAGAGGGTTCAATAGGTCATCTCAACCAACAGGGTTCATTGGGTCATCTCAGCTTAAAGTCCATTGAGTCATTATTGCCAAAAGGGTAGGTTTGCCAGTCCATTGCTGCATGGCTAACTAAAGGAGGACTGTTACAATAGTTGGGTCTCCCAGAGCACCTTAGCCAGAGGGATTGTCCACACCAAGTGTGGGCTTAGGAGAGGTCATGTGTGTCCTGGCTGCTGGGCAGGTCCAGAAGGACTCAGCCTGTGGAAGTGGCTCTGCAGCCTTGGGACCTACTAGCAGGAGGCTTTGGGAGAGGGGCAGGGGCTTCTGCAGCCCTGAATAGTGGCTTCCCATTGCAGAAAGCCAAGAAGAAGAAGATTGAGGTGATCAAGCCTGGGGATCTAGGCGTGGACCTGACCTCTAAGCTCTCGGTAGTCAGCGTGGAGGACCCACCCCAACGCACAGCTGGTGTCAAGGTGGAGACCACTGAGGACCTGGTGGCCAAGCTGAGGGAGATTGGGCGGATCTGAGCCCTCTCTGAAACTTGGCAATAAAACTGACTCTCAACATCTGTCTCTATTAACTCATTCCCTGAAGACCCATTCTTTGATTCACTCAACAAACATTTACTTAAGTCTCATGTGCCAGGCCCTGTGCTGGGTGATGCTGGGGACCCAGGTGAGTCACTTCTAGTCCCTGTCCTTGAGAAGCTTCTGTACTGAAGTGGGGGATAGACATGGGCAAAGGCATCTGCAGTGCAAAGGTGACCTGGCTAGGTATGGAGGTACCATGGGGACCCAGATGGGATACCTGGCCTGACCTAAGGGGCCAGAGACTTGCCAGTAAGCTGACATTCAAGCTGAGTGTTGAAAGATAAGTATCAGTGAGGTGGGTGAGAAGGGCTTTTATCCAGAAAGTGTTCACAGAGGCCTCTCAGGTGCCAGGCCTCTTTGGAGACTTGAGACACAGAGGGAATGATGAGGCTAGGAACTTCAGTCTGGCTGGAAAGACAGATGAACAGCAAAAATTGAAACCTAGTGTGGGGATGAAGAGCCCAGGCCTAGTGTCAGATTTATTCATTTCAAATCCTCTCACTTTTATCAGCTCCGAGATCTTGGGTGTCTTACTTCCTGTCTCTGAGCTTCCAGACTCCTCATCTGGCAGATCAAAATGGTAAAACACAGCCTGGTGGATAAAGGCATGGATCCCAGATCCAAAGGCCCAGGGTTCAAACCATAGCTGGACCAATTCCTGGCTTTGGGAAGATCTTAGGCAGGTTACTCAACCCTGAGCCTAGGTCTCCTCCTCTGTTAGGCAGAATTAGTAATAATACTTGTATTCTGCTTGTCTGTTCTGGTGTAAACAAATTACCCCAAAACTTGGTAGGTTAAAACAACAATCATTTAGGGCAGCACCTGTGGCTCAGTGAGTAGGGCACCAGCCCCATATACGAGGGTGGCAGGTTCGAACCTGGCCCCGGCCAATCTGCAATGAAAAATTGCCAGGTGTTGTGGTGGGTGCCTGTAGTCCCAGCTACTTGGGAGGCTGAGGCAAGAGAATCACCTAAGCCCAGGAGTTGGAGGTTGCTGTGAGCTGTGACACCACAGCACTCTACCAAGGGTGATAAAGTGAGACTCTGTTTCAAAACAACAACAATCATTTATTGTGCTCATAAATCTGAAATTTGGGCAGGGCTAGGCAGGGACAGTTTATCTCTATGTAGCATCAGTTGAAGTGGCTCCAAGAGGGCTCACTCATGGCTGGCAAGCTGACTGTTGACCTGGGGCCATGATTCCTTTCCACATGGCTGCTTGAGTCTCCTAACAGTATGGTGGCTGAGCTCCATGAGGGAGTGTTCTACAGTATAGGATGTGGAACATGCTAGCCTAGATGCAGAAACTGGCATGTCCACTGGAGTACATTTCTACAGTTCTCTCTTAGTCTAGTAGTCAGATCCAACTGGGGGGAGGTATACACCCTACTTAAAAAAAATTCTATTTCTTTGCTATTTCCCATCTTTTTGTTTTGAGAGTCTCACCATCTCCCTGGGTAGAGTGCTGTGGTATCATAGCTCACAGCAACCTCAAACTCCTGAGCTTAAGAGATCTATCCTCTTGCTGCAGCCTCAGAAGTAGCTGGGACTACAGGTGCTCACTACAATGCCTAGCTAGTTTTTCTATTTTTAGTAGAGATGAGGTCTTGCTCTTCCTCAGGCTGGTCTGGAACCCTGAGCTCAAGTGATCCACCCACCTCAGCCTCCCAGAGTGCTAGAATTACAGGCCTGAAACACCAGGCCCCGCTTAGACCTCATTTCTTTCTTTTTTTTTTTTTTTCTGAAGGACAGAGTCTCACTTTATCACCCTTGGTAGAGTACTTGGTATCACAGCTCACAGCAACCTTGAACTCCTGAGCTTAGGTGATTCTCTTGCCTCAGCCTCCCAAGTAGTTGGACTACAGGTGCCCACCACAAGGCCCGGCTATTTTTTTTTTTTGCAGTTTGGCCGGGGCTGAGTTTGAACTCGCCACCCTTAGTATATGGGGCTGGTGCCCTACCCACTGAGCTACAAACGCCACCCCAGACCCCATTTCTTAATGGGAGGGAGGGCATAATTTGCAGCCATTTTTAAGTTTCATAAACTACCCCACGGAGTTTTGAAAGATTAATTTATGCACCCCCCGAACCACATCTGATATACAGAAAATATTCAATATTTACTATTGCCATTATTATCACCAGTATTATGAGGTAGGCCCTAAGTCCAGCAAGGGGACGATAAGAAGGAGTGAGCAGTCTGACCATCAAGGGCCCAAGTCCAGCTTCAATCTCTGGCTGTGCAACTCTGCAGGCCCCTTGCCCTCTCTGAGCCATAGTCCCCTGGTCTATAAAGTGAGGATAATGACACACAGCTTATAGGGTTTTTAGCCTGATAATACATGGAGTTCCTGGCTCAACAGGAGGAGTAATTATTATGGTTCCTAATAAGGTGGGGCCTGAAGGACAAGTTGTGGTTTAGCCTGGTTGGAGGGGGTGGAGAGTGAATGAGAGCATTCCAGGTAGAGGGAGGTGACATGAGGCCGGCAGGATAAGAATGGCCAGACATTCGTAAAATGCACTGGGGCGGGGAAAGTGGGTGGGTTCTCTCTGTAGCTTGGCTGTCTCCAGAGGGTGCTGTGGGGCCAGGGGGGCCTGGGACATCTCTGATTGTAGAAAAACCTTCAAGGGGACTGAAGGAGGCTGGAGGGAGGAGGGCAAGGAGGGAGGAGGGCAAGGAGGCAGGGAGAGGGCAGAGACCTGGGCAGTGGGAGCCAAGAAGAGTGGGTGGGGTAGAGAGGTACAGGATTCAGATCGACAGCAGTGAGGGGAGAGAAAAGGTGGGAAGGCACCCTAGCATCTGCATTCCAGCCGGTCCTGGAAGTGAGAACCCAGGAGGGGGGCAGGCTTAAAGGAAAGATTCTCAGTTAAGTGAGACACAGGATGTGTGAGGGCCTGGGGGATGCAGAAACAGTTCTGGTGCCTAGGAGAGATGGTTGGGCAGAAGATAGCAACTACAGACTTGGTTCTGAGGGCAATAGGGAGCCATGAGTGGGTTTGGAGCAGAGGAGGAGCAGGGTCAGATGCTGGTACCTGAGGCTACAGGCAAGACAGGACGGAGGTGAGGAGGATGTGGAGGACAAAGCTGAGTGAGCTGGCCATCAGTGGTGGGGGCCCACCCTCCTTTCCTCTAGCCTCCCGAAATTTCTTGCCTCATCCTCCAGGAGGTCTTCCAGGCTTCAACCCCCAAGTTTGCCACCACATTTTAGCAGGGACCCAGTTCTTTCCCCTAGGGGCAGGGAATACAGGGATCAGGCTGGGCCACCCATCAGGGCCAGCTGATGAAGACAGTGGGGTGGGGTGGGTGACTTAGATAGGGTGGGGGATCCTAGTACCTCCCGCTGGGTCTGGCTCTTCTCCACCCAGGAAGCTAAGCTGCCAGTCCTGTTGGACTTGTCCTACCTGGGAGGGATGAGCACAGGCTTGGGTCTCCCTCCACTGTCCTCTCTGGCACAGCTAGTGCCATGGACACCTCATGGGTTCTGCTACTCTTCCTACTCCTGGGTAAGTTCCCTGCTCAGCCCCTTCCCCACAAGTCCCATTTCTCAGCTGCCTCCTCCAATGCCTGCCCACCCTCCCTTCCTCTGTAGCCTCCCCATTAGGGGTCCTCGCCCTCAGGACCTCGTCTGGACTTCAGCAAACCAATTTCTCATCTGCCTTCTCTTCGGACTCAGAAAGTTCTTCCCAGAGGCTGGGTTCAGAAGTTCCTTCCATCAAGCCTCCCAACCTGAAATTTCTGAATCAGTCTTCCAGTTCAAAAGCTTCTACTGGAATAATCTCTGATTCCAGCTGGTTTCCTGAGGCTCTGAACTCCAACAATCCATCTGGGTTCTTCTGGTCAAATGCTTCCGCTGAGGGTCAAGATTTGAGCCTGGATCTCACTCCTGGTTCCGAAGTACTTCTTGATATCTTAGATCCTCAAGTTCCTGCCAAAGACCCCAAGCCTTCCTTTTCTGTTAAAACCCCAACTTCAAACATTTCTGGTCAAGTTCCTGATACCAAAGAATCTGTTGAGGTCCCAGGTTCAAAAGATCTTGAACTCTTTGCCCAGAACCCTGAATCCAAAGTTTCCACCGAGACCCACACAGCTGCAAGCTTCCCTCAGCAGGTGGGGGGACCTCTTGCTGTGCTGGTAGGGGCTACCATCTGGCTCCCCCTGGTCCCAGTCCCCAGCCCTGGCCCTCCTGCCCCTCTGGTGGTCTGGCGCCGGGGCTCCAAGGTGCTGGCAGCAGGGGGCCTGGGACCAGGGGCTCCTCTGATCAGCCTGGACCCTGTTCACCGGGGTCGCCTGCGATTTGACCAGGCCAGAGGGGGTCTGGAACTCATCTCTGCCCAGCTGGATGATGCGGGGGTCTATACGGCTGAGGTCATCAGGGCAGGGGTCTCCCGGCAGATTCGGGAGTTCACGGTGGGTGTGTATGGTAAGTGGGCCCTGGGGTCTTTCCGGAGTGCCGGCTACTGGGGGAGTGCGGGCTACACGGGCAGCTCTGCTCTGGGAGACCTCTGGGCAAGTAAGTCACTACTGTTATGAGGATGTTTCCTTGCCAGAAGAGGTCCCGGGATGAGAAAAGAGGACTTCTGGGTGGAGGAAAGACGGAGAAGAGGGGCTGAGGCCAAGATAGGGTTGGCTGAGGAAAGCTGGGCTTGGGATTAAGGTTGTTGGGAGTTCCCGGGTCTAAGGGAGAAAGGTTGGTGGCCCGGACTCCTGAGGCTGAGGGAAAGAAGCAGCGGCTGGGACCTGAAATCCTGTGTGTAAGGGAGCAGCGAACACGAAGATGGGCTCCCAGACCGGGTCCTGAGCCTGCTCCCCTTCTCCTAGAGCCTCTACCCCAGCTATCGGTGCAGCCTAAGGCCCCAGAGACAGAGGAGGGAGCGGCCGAGCTTCGGCTGCGCTGTGTGGGGTGGACGCCGAGTCGCGGGGTGCTGAGCTGGAGCCAGAACGGACGCGCTCTGGAGAGAGCGGACCTTGAGGGAGTGGAG